AGAACCCCAAATTACCATTGCTCAAGCACCTAAATTATATAAAAAAAAGAACAATGATCACAAAATCATATATAGATCAAACGCTTCACCCAAAACTTCAAGACCTACATATATTCACTATAATTATCCACCGTCATTAACCCAATCCAATTCGCGTGACAGTATCAACACAATGTCTCAAATCCTTCAACCCATAAAAAAGCCTCAAATACCAAAAACATCTAGGAAGGAGTAAAATTCCTATTCAAGCCATCTGTTCCCGAGATCTCTTGATCGGTGCTCGAAATGCTGAGAGCGCGGGCGGAAGCGTTGTTCCTCTCGTCGAGCAATCCTAAGGACACGTTTCCCTAACGGGGCCTACGTGCAGACCCGGCTTCGGGACGCCGAGGAGGAAAAGAAAGCGCGTCGAAGATCCAGCGTCGCGTCGCCGGTTCGACGAGGAACGGGGTATAATTGATTGGCCAATTAAATCACGTTCGCGTGCACGTGACCGGCGCGGATTCGATATCGAGGCCGTAGTCGCGTCGTCAACCCCCCTGCCACCCCTTGGTGCCGCCCCCGTTTTCTCTCCGGGCAACTTGTGTCACACGACGACAACGATGACGACGATGACGACGACGACGACAACGACGGCGACGACGACGATGTTCGACTTCGCTCGGAGCTACTTTGCCCGGCTGCGACCCGACCGATCGTTATTCTCGCGCAAAATCGGCCCGGCCCGGCCTGACCCGAGCCGAGATTTTGCCGTGCCAGATGCAAGCCTGCTCAGGATTTCGGGGTTCGGCCGTGTCCTTCCGAGATTAGGACTCGCGGAGGAAAGTTTCGCCGAACTTCGTCTCTCTCGGAAACCATTAAACCCTTTGCGCTACGATTTCTTTCACGGCTCTGTTAATTACATCTGTAATTAGCAGATTCTGTTCGAATTGTTCAGAACGAGTCCGACACGTTGTTGTACTGCAAGACGTTAACGAAACCCGAGTCGAACTTTACTTATCTGGTCTTGTTTCAGTTGGATTTTTAAGGGGCGGTTTGAATGTTGTTCCTTCGAATTGTGGCTTTAGCACTATGACGACAAATTCATCGATCGTCTCGTGTAATCTTGGCTGTTCACACAAGCATTGTAACCGTAAGACAAAGTGTCGGCCGTGTAAATTGTACGAGGGTAATGTAATTTGCAAACCTGGCTTGGCAGTGGATAAATTCGTGTGCAATATTGTTCAAGGAAAGTAAGAAGAATTTATCCGAAAGAACCGACTTCCGAGAGTCTTGAGAATTGTAAATGACAGACTGCGGATTTTATGCACTTATGGCAAAAGTGTATGGATTAAATACAAACCACTCGGAGAATCTGAAACATTGTTACTACTCAAATGTTGTACCATTCCCAACTCGTTGAAAGCATTAAGAAATGAAACTATTCCCGTATTATTGCACAATTGATGCAGACAATTTTAATTTAACATAGAAATCTGCAGTCTAATGATTGATCGTTTCGCGAGTTGTTCCACGGGCCCGCGTCGCGCTTAGAGACGAACGATTAGGTCGATTTAATAGTTATTGACGGTCGACTAGTCGTTAATTAATTAGGTTATCGATTCGGTCCGGTTGCATCGAGCCGGCTTGCACGTCTCCTGTTTCTAGAAAGCTGCAACAGCCCTCGGTTCGTTTGTGCACGTGATCCGTGGCAAGGCACACGCGTGCCTCCGCGCGGACACGTGCCGCGCTTTCATCCCGCGGACGTTCGATCCACTTTCTCCACCCTTATGGCTCGAGCCTTTTCCTTCCACGATCCGCAATCCCCATCGGCTAATCCGCGGAAACTATTCGCAAGCATTCCCCACCGCCGCGATTCTAGCAAACGTTCAAGTGATCGCTGACAAAATTGCTTGCTCGCGCAGACGGTACGTGCATGGGCACGGTAAAATAGAGGAGACGATGCTTGAAGAAGAGCACAATCAAAAAATAATTGATGATGTCGCATACTTTTGGTAAGTACGATGATGGAATAGCGGTGGTAACAAGAGAACGGAATAGCTTGACAAAGTAAGGAAACAGTATAAACACTTTTACTTCAAGATCATATTATGATACATACAATTTTACTTCGGTCAAAGTTTCGTTTTCATTGTAAGAGTCTTATTGTTTTACCAAATTATGAGATGGGAATGTTAGTACATCCTTCCTCGAATAGCATTATGCAGAAACTCGATGGATTCATTTAAATATATGATATCATCCTGGAATAAAAATGCGCCCCTTCCCTAATTCCGCATACCACGAAATCATCCATTCCCCAGCACTCTAACTGGAAGATTTATTCAAAATATAGAATTAATGCCTGGAACAAAACTTCTTGAACCAGAGTATAAAACTGTGAATATGTCTCAGGAGTTCACAAATTTGTGCACAATCTGCGAACGAATTGATGTAGCAAATAATTTCCACGTTCCGATAAATATTTCTATACTGGCTGTCCAGGAGCACAGCTTGCAGCATCTTTTAGTTTGTTAGCGCAAAGTTTTTCTCGGCCGGGGGGTAGTGTCGCGAGCAGGCAATATAATTTTTGCCAAAAGGGATCGGCGCGGCGCGCGCGGTTCTTTTCAAACATCGTCGGTTCCGTCGACGGGAAGAAAGGAATCGGGTCCGCGGTACGCGGCTCGAACTTTCGAATTGGATGGGATTCACCGGAAAATTAAAGCTCTCCTCCTCGAGAAGCTCGCGAGCGAAGCGGGGCGGAGAGGAGAGGAGTGGAGAGGAGCAACCGAGACTTCGCGATCATTTCTTCCCACCCTCCTCCAGAGCGCTATCGCCTTTTTTCCTATCTATAATCGAGCCACCCAAACCCGGTCGAATCCCACCGAATCTCGTCCCTTTTCTTCTCCTTTCGCGACCCTCTTTTCCCGTCGATCCCTTTCGGCGCGGCCCTCGTTAACGAACTCGATCAAACTCGCGGCGCTCGAGCACCGCGTGGATACGTGCTCGGACCTACAATCAGATGATAATCGGAGAACGAGTTGTACAAAATCGCGGGCTCGACACTCGAGAATTAGGCGATGCCCGACGAGTTTCTTCGTCTCGGGGAGAAAGCCCATTTTTCTTCGCTGAAAATACTCTCCCAACGAGAAGAAATATTCGGACCCACGAATTGGGTGATAGATATTCTAGACAGATACGATTAGCTAATGGAGTTTTAGAGAAATATATACTAATGTATTGTCCACCGTTTCTGGGAATGTTGCAAATAATTTGAGGGATATGCGTCTGACGGCTATAAATCCACAAAAATGCGCGATCTACTGTCAATTCAGTGTCGGCGAATGTCAATAAGGGCTGGAGCTTTTAGTTTAAATAGTTCTCCAGAAGTTTGTTGATCTCCAGTGAACTTCTTCTTCCGGTTTTCTTCGCTTCGCCGGGAGAAGTTGGCCCAAACGCATCTTCGGGACGTCCGACGTGTTTGATATGTCCCGGACATCCTCGCAGTCGATATGAAAACCAGCCACCGACATTGCCGATCGATGCCAGTGAACGCATTTCGGAGATTTGGCGATCCATCGCGTTGTAGGGGAAGTTTCAGCGCGTCGCGAAGCACGTAAGCGTTTATATAGGACACGCACAGTCACACTGACACAAAGATACACACACGCAAACATAAAGACACAAACAGAAAGAGAGAGAGAGAGTGAGAGAGAGAAAGAGAGACACGTGTACACAGAAGAGACGCGAAAGAGGAAAATAATAAGTTAAATAAATTTCTAGTTTAAGAGCGCGCGCGCGAACGAGACAGGGCGAGAGGAAGTTTAATTCTGTCGCGAGAGAGTGAGAGAGAGAGAGAGAGAGAGAGAAAGTATGTGAATGTGTGAATGGTTATAATGTATAGTATGCGTGGACATGTGCGTGTGCGTGTGCGAGCGAGCAAATGCGCCAGAAACGAGGAGAACACAATCGAGCGAGAGAGAAAGCGAAAACGAGAGCGAGAAAAAGGATTGTAGCTTGCAAAAGAGAATTATTAGGGTTCCGTCTTTGAGTGTTGGAGAATGTTCATTTGTAATTGTTTAAATCTAACGAGAAATGTACTGTAAAACTATAAGTACTATAGGCACTAAAAATATATCATTTGTTGACATGAAAAAATAAAAAAACCTGAGTGACGTGATGATTCTTTCGCTACCAGCCTCTGCACATACCTTCTTTAACGACCGTGATCAAGATCTCGCTAAGAATCTGCTAATTACGCTTGTTATTAATCTCTTTCATATAGAAATAAAATTCTAATTTTCTGTTGTCGATATTTACACAAAGAAATTCTAATCAATTTACCTATAATATTAATCCTAGTTCAATTAACACTAAACATGCCATACCATCGTATAAACCGCACACTATTTCACTCCGTTAAGCTGTGGAAATAATTTTTGCTTCACCTATGTTCAAGTAAAAATATGAAAATGCAAGTTATAGTGATGCAGAATTTTCGCACAATGCCTCCTACATAAATCAAAGCACTTCAATCGGAATATAGGTAACATCTAAAATATTTTCAAACACTTCAATTACAATATCCTATACAGCGAGGAAATATATTAATAATATTCCTCGTTTGCAAAATCCTGCGAACGTAAACGGTTCTCTCACATCCATAAAACGTATTTCAACCTGAAGCACAATAATCGTTTCATAGTCGATGCTTCAAAGCCATCGATGTTAGATAACGATTTCTGCTGTGCCTCGCGAAGTCTCAGAGCCCCCGTAGCAGAGTTTGAAAACCGTTCTGTGCCATGCTAACGAGAGGACGAAAGGGGGAATTCGATTGACGGAAGCACGGGCAATTGATCGAGGCCTACGAGTCGTCGAGAGTCGTCGAGACGACGGCGAGGAGGATCCCCTTACCTTTGTCGAGGTAGGTAAATAATGTATCCTGTCCAGGTAAATATAGAGCGCCGGCCCGGAAGGAACGGCAGACCTGACCGCCATTAGGAATAAATAAATCGTCAGACAGGTTTGCATGAAAAATTTATTCGTGACGCACGCGTTTTTATGTACAGCGATAAGAATATAGAGCACGCGTCATCGCTACGATGCCATCCGAAAATAGACGTCGCGATCTCTTGGCCGCGGGGGTGGCCGACACCCCTAATCGAGCATCGCGTTAACGACTCGTCGACGTTACAATTACGACGGTTCTCTCGCTCGGGAATGGTGCCAGCAGACGTCCGAGAACATCTCGGAACCCTGACTACCTGTTAACCGGTAGCTGACGAATCAACTCGTCGACAGGCTGTTATGCCAACTCTCCATAATGAGTCTAAGAACTATACAAATTGGGAAACTGGAGACTTGAATGCTTCTGACGGAGATGGAAAGAAGGGACAAGGCTTGACACGATGGTTTAAGCTGTAGTTCTTCGTTTGATCTCGTTCTCAAAGTTATTCGAAGGACATCGACGACTCTGTTCAATGATACCACGAGGTTTTACTTTTGGAATCTTGTAGCTGCTTTTGGGACGAAGTTTACAAAATGGTATCGTGGTGTCTGACAGGAAATTGCATTTGGAATAGGAGAAGCGAATCGTCTTTAATGTGCATGCTCCTTTTTTCTCAATATTATTTGAAGCGCGGCGTTGATTGCGCTTGCTCTAGCGCCGAGGCAAAAGTCGCCCGCATAACAGGTCAACAGGTCAACAGGTCGATCCCGTTGATAAGTATTAAAGAAGTCACGACCAGGGTGATTCGAATGAATAACGAAACGAATGTGGGTGAATTATGGGAGATGGCTCGTCTAATCGATTAAAAGAATCTAACTCATATTTGCATGAATCAAATCACTATACGTTTACAAAATTGTTCTCGTAGTTACCATGGGAAATTCGAGATATTCGCAGACTTATGATCGATTTTAAATTGCGCGAACGCATCTCTGATCCATTTCCAATTTGAATCGAAAAATTCGAACTGAAATTGACTGCTAAAAATAAAATGACTGAAGATTACACGAGCTTTTCCCCCCTTAAGGACGCGCGGCGGTAACGGACTGATTCTCGCGCCGAAGAACGCGAATAAATATTTCCTTATAAATAAAAAAGCATCTCGCAGCCGCCGAGATAGATCACATCCCGCTGATAATCGCATCAATAGCAGGTCGTCACAACATAATTGCAGTTGTCGCTATTGAAGCGAGTGTTGTTGCTGCTGTTGTTGCTGGGTCACCTTGCTTAGGGGCTCGATACTCGTTTGGCTCTCTGGTGATGGCGACGCCTGCTTCTTCGCCTCCTCTTCGCCATCCTTCACCAATTGGGGAGGCAACGCGTTCAGCAACCCTTGTAGAAGCAAAATCTCTCGTCAGATTACTACTGGGATATTGGAAACTGGGAAAAGTTCTTACTCACCGACGGTCTCGCCTTTAAGAGAGGTGCCTGTAACGATAAAAGGGAGCTACAGTTTCCCGTGTAAACTTTAGGACCTCTTCTCAGCAGCCATCGTTCGTTTTGGGGAAAATGGTACCCGAGGAATGCATATAAATTGTTAACACGATTTTACCTCTATAAAAATTGCCATACTTTGTACGTAATAAATTGTTACTTAACATAAGTGAATGCAATCAGTGGCTCTTCTTCTTGGTTATAAAATTGTCCTTCTTGTTAAACGTGACAGCGCAAAGGTTAAATAAATCGATTGCAAATGGTATTTTAATGATCCCATTTGTTAAGACACTGGAGTTAATTGCATCCGGAAAGGAAGCAAGTAGAATTGTATTTTAGCGGTTCCATTTATTAAGGGACAAAATTTATGTTGAGAGGGCAGTTAGTTATATCCTATGAGAAAACAAAAAAATCCTTACGTCGTAAGGACAAGATTAATGTTTTCGGGAGATTTGAAAGCAGCCAGGTCCATTTTTAGCACCGGATGAGAACGATGACCGCCAAATGACGTACTTCTCACGTTTTCTCGAGTGCTGTATCAAATGCAAAAGTCACAACTATCACTACCACGATGATAGTTGACATACCGTTGCCGCGATACTTGTTCAACTGCTGGTACACCTGTTTCATCCTTTCGATGTTGATCCTGGAGCTCTTGCCATGATTCACCATCGGCAGCGAGTAATCTTGACCGATGATGCACTTAGCGGTTCTTTGTACGCTGAGTGGTGCATTCCAGGGCTCGTGGATGTATCTCGTAGGGATGTTCTTCAACACTGGGAGATAACGCCTAGCATCCAAGTAAAATATACGAATCATAAAATTAGAATACTCTAGAACGTGCCAATAATCAAATAATATCTCTAGAAGAGGTGTTTTTAAAAGGCTGAACTTTTGCTACCTGATGTAGTCGCCATTGGGATCGGCTTTCCTGCCGAACCTCACCGGGCAATAGCAATGAAAGAATTGTTGGAAGAAGGAACTGCAAGACAGCCACATCCACATGCCAGCGTTGACGGACCAGTCAGCATCCAGCAGGAGCTCGTCGAACACCTTGAGGAACGTTCATCGTGTATCGTTTATGAATCTGTTCTTCGGAAAAAGATTGCTGAAGTCACAATAGCTAGTTTGCATAGGATATTAATTATAATATGAAATGAAGCCTTATGAGAGAAAACAGCAACTATTCGAGCAACTATACATGCAACTGTAAATAAAGATAATAGGATTAAAGTAACGCAATACTCTCTGAAATGAAATAAACAGAAACAGTTGGTCTGTAAATATGAAAGATGTAAAAAGTGTTACCATCTGTAATAAAACATTCAATGTATGAAATTCTTGCAGTGTTCTTCCTCAAATAACACCTCGTCATTACCGACACAATCAAATTAATAAAGCAATTAACCCGAATAAATCTAACAAACAATGTGAAGACTGATATTTTTTTAAATCGTTCTTATTAATAAATTCACACTTAAGGTAACTGAAACAGACGACTCGCAGCAATCAGCTATGACTCCAGGCATCTTTTTACCGAAAAACAGACCACAGGTATTAACACTGATCACGCAATAGCGATAACAGAATCAAGACGCTGCAGATCTCGGTCATGAAATGCCAGCACGAGACATTTTACCTTCATTCCTTCTTCCCAGGAGATCCAAAGGTCGCCTCTGGTAAGAAAGCAGGCTACGGCGTGTCTGGCCAAGTGATGGATCCAGCCCTCCTCTCGTAGCTGCGTCATGATCGCGTCGATCCACGGAAATCCCGTTTGGCCCTATTCGAAAGAGAAGAACGCCATTCGATCGTAATTCGGTGAATTTGCGATGCACGGAAAATCCATTCGAGTCACTCACGTTTGCCCACTTGGCTAAAGCCTCCACGTTCTTGTCCCAGGGAATCTGCACGCAAATCGGGTTCCCCTGCATTCGATCGAAGTTAGGGTTCTTGGTCGCTGCGCAGTAAAAGAACTCGCGCCATAACAGCTGGCCGTGCAGCGATAATGGTGGAACTGCTTTCTTAATCTGCAATATGATGCAGAAGCATTCGTCTAACTGAATATTATATGCTTTTGTATTGGGACTTTCGCTGAAAATTTGCTGAAACTATATCTATAGTGTTTGGAACTATCTCACTTGGAAATATTTTGAATCTAGCATGGTGGACGCTATTGATGATCTCATGGAAGCCATGGTTACATCTATTAATATCCTTAAATATAGACATTGTGCATTTGAAGAGAGAAATACACTTGATGGAAACTAGTATCATTTTGTATAAATTTTATTTCGGTTAGATTACCATTAATCCTCTTATCGGACCTACTATAACTGTTTAACAATTGACACTGTCTGCTAGAAGATTCGAATTCAAATGAAAGTCTACCCTTGGCAAATGAATTAAATTGGTAGCTGAAGAGTCCAAGTTGTCTAGGAGAAGTACCTTAGAAAATACATTAAAATAAATGTTGATGGATGCAAGCGATGGACGTGTCAAGGACATTCACTTTTCGGGAGTTAAAGTACTTTTTAATACTCGAAACACCACTTCCGACCAGGCTCTAAATATCCAGGACAAGGTGGAGCTAAACGGATCCCGACCTGAGATTCTCGCAGATCAACTTATTCCGGATACAATTTCAAAGTTACTGAAGCAATAGCCTCGGTAAAACTACTACACAAGTAACCGGCAACCCGGGTGACAGAAGATTAGAAATTAAAGGAAACCTTTGTAAGCTGACCGGCCGAGGGTTAGCTGATCAGCTGTGTAATCAGCTGCATGACTTCGAGTAGTGAAAGCCCTAAGTCCGTAAGAAGATCACAAAAGTAGAACATTCTCGGGCGCGCAAACACAATATACCTTCTTATAGAGATCGGTAAGCTGGTAGTAAAAGAGCCTGGTGCTCAGGCAGCCAAATCTTAAATAGGGCGATAGGCCAGTTTGACTGGGCAGCAAGGACTGTGGAGTCATCTTCGGTCTGCCGAAGCTGGCCACCCACGCTTTTCTCTCGAGGTGTCGACCCAGTCTTGCCAGAGCTTCGCTTTCGCCGCCTACCCAGACGGGTGGTCGAAGCCCTTCCGTGTCAAAACCTGGCAATAATTTAAAGAAAACACTTTCACTGACTTGAAAACCGACATCCTCAAAAGTGCTGTTCAATCCAGTGCCTAGATCATTAATTCACATGTCTTGGTCAATTGACACCGTTAGTAAGACTGCAAACACTTATTTTCTAAGCTAAGGCAAATTCCGTCGAGTTTTCGTTCTCACCGCAAACAAATTTTGAGAATATAGAAACTCTGTGTAATAGAAATTTCGATTCGCGATTCACAAAGATTTACCAAGCTCTTCGAGGGTAGGCACGCCATAGTGGTCGTCGTGGTCCTCCTTGAGGGGCGTATAGGCCGATCCGACGCAGACGGAGGTGACGGTCTGCACCGGTGGTTCCGGCGGGTCCATGCTGGCCACGACATTTTGAAATTGATGATACGTCAGCGGCGGCTTGCCCCCGTTCTTCTCGATGATCCTGAAACGAGAACCCGATGAAGCAGCTGCCGTTGCCGTGATACTGGCGATCGACAAACTCGAAAAAGAAAACTGTGCTCACTCGTCTAGCTTGTAGAGGGTGTGCGAGACCCTTTGGACCACCGAGATGCCCAACTCATTGCACAGCGCAGAAATATTGTGATCTCTGACACGACCGAATGGCTCTGGGTCCTCCTCGAAGGTCAGGTTCGTCGTGCCCCATTCCTTGAAGAGTTTTGGCAAAGCGTCCGCTGGCTGACCTCGTATCACGAATAATCTGGAGTTCAACTTCCTCAGAGAACAGTCCAGGTCCTCTAGGCACTGTAGCAGGAACCTGTCGTTCGTAGAAATGAAAATTCTTTGCAGTTTTTTTAACTGTTTTGACAGAGGTCATTGTATTATGATCCATCGGGAATACCAGAAAGAGTGCAACAATATCTTCAGGAACCTACTTCCACTTTTTTCAGAATTTATTATTGCGTATTTTTGTCCATAATCATAGTTACTGTACGTCGTAATTTACAGTATAGCCATAGAAGCTGAAATATCAACATGAATCTTGAAACAAGAAGGACTCCGAAGTCCTCTAAATCAAAAGAAGATGGATATACATATGTAACGAGAGTGTTCTTGATAGTTTCAGCGTCCGAAGATGGGCTATCATGAGAGTTTTAAAGGTTTCTCTTCCAAATCAAAAGGCAGAAATACCCTACGAAGGCGTTGCCAGGATAAAAAAAAACAGATGGGTTTCCTAGGACTCACCTCCACTTATTGATGCCGACGTTGGTGCTTCCGGCGAACCAGGGGTCCAAGACGAAGACGCATCGGAAGGTGGCCGCGCCTGCCAGCCCCTCTCTCAGCGAGGGGTTGTCATGCAGCCTGAGCCCCCTACGGAACCAGTGAACCGTGTGCTTCTGGCCCTGGTTCCCCACGTCCGGATTTATTTCCCTGCTCCGGCTGCCCGTCATCTTCGCCTCCTTCTCCTCGTCCTCCTCCTCCTCCCCGTCCGCCACCCTTGTTTCCGTCACCTTGCCTCTTCCTTGCAGCCCTGGAACTGTCTTCCACGCTTGTCGAAATGCCCCTAATCTATCGTCGCGATCCTTCCAGCGCCAGAATCGCGCTCGTCAATTGGAAGATCGCATTTTCGAAGAGATCGCCGACCCACCCCTGCCTGGCCCTGTCGCGTAACGTTTCTTTCTCGAACTTTGCGAACAGTTTGTCTTTTCACTGGTTCAATCCCCAAGGGAGGCGAATTGCGACCTTGAACGGCAGCCTCAGCCTCCGAGCACCGTCATTCTCGCGAATCGATTATGCTGAGCGGTTTTTAGGTCATCAAGGTTGCCACTGGGCTCGATCGATCTCAGGTGTTCGGTCGATTGGATCGGTTCGCTGGTTATGGAAAAGAGAATAATTAGTTGTGTCGTCTCGCGGGAATTGTCTCACCACTGTCTAAAGAACTATTGGGACACCTAAGGGTGAAGGTATTGCTGATTGGTACCTTTGTCCTACTATCTGAACATTGCTGGAAAAGGCTAAATGACTTCCCCAGATGGAATAGATTTTTCTTCTTACAAAATATAAAACTGCTTAAAAGTGCTTGGAAAATTATTTAAGTAGTTTCTTCAAGTGTAGAATAAGGAATGATTTCATTTAACTGCCAAATAATTAAATAATCTAAAGGAAAATTATTAGAGTTATTTTAAAATTCATACAGTTGTTAATTAATTATGAAATGTATCATAAATAGCGCCATCCTCGGGGCCTGACTTGCTATTAGATATTCTACTGCGCGTGACCCGGTCAACGATGATTCGACATCTGACTATGTACCGATCATTCTACTGCCTTCAATAAAACACCCCTTTTGATTAAGATACGTTTAATTTTGCAATATTTTCTCTATTCAACATAACTACTTCCTTTAAGGACCATATTTAAGAATATAAAGCACATGATAAAAGTTATTACAATAAATACAAATATGATAAAATAATTCGTTAGTGTCTGTGTTGACCCTCGACTAGCAGACAATATTGAATACCAATTACAGTTTCGTTTTCAATTTTCTTAAACATACTTGATTAATCAGCTGTAACTAGAAACTGAATATGACTGATAACGATTTTTACGTTACGGGTCAATACAGACCCGATATTAATGCTGCAGTGGCATGTTCGCCGCTAATTTTCACGAGGAAACATTTCTTTCGTTCCGGTTGTTCGCAGTTCGCAGGTCCAGGAATAACCGCGAAACGCCGGGAAATAGAACGCGTCGTCTGCAGCACGGAAAGCAAACAATACGGTTCCGGATACGTTTTTTTATTTTCGTCCAACTTCGTTAGCTGGAGATTAATTCCAGGTCGATTCACGTAACTATATACCATTCACCCCCTATCCTGCCTGAATATAGACGCGTGTTATATAATTATATGTATAATTGTAATATTTGTGATCTCACTCGGATTAACAATATTTCTAATTCCCACAATTTTACCCTCGATTTAGTCTTCACGAATCAATATTCCATTTGTTATTTAACTCATTCCATCTGTAACCAGCGGCCAACATACGGTTTTCTTCAATTGTGACTATACAAACATCCCCTCTATTCTAAATTCTATTCCTTGGAACTCTTGCTCAAATCAATTATGTCTAAATGATTCTGTCTCATTTTTCTATAACATTCGTCAGCATGTAATTGAGATACATATTGTTTTACGTCCACATCGTCCCTTCAAATTTCCTTTCTGATTTAATGCTGTATTAAAACAACTTATTCTTGTCAAGGAATCTGTTCTTTGTAAACTGAAACGTTCAAATAATTACAATTACTATCTTTCTTTCAGTCATGTTAGGAATTTATGTAAATCAACAACCAATATCATTTCGGTCATATACTTTATATCTATCAAAATGTACTGTAAAATGTACTCCCTGTCACTGTATTCGTTTTAAATAAATTTGGTTACCTCATAATAGGCATTCAACCGTAAATAAATTAAAAATGAAGAGAAAAGAATGAAAATAACTATAATGTCCCCGTGTCCCGAAACACCACAGTTGACATACGAATCGAGCGTGTTGCATTACCACCTCTTCCATCAACACTGTTCCAATCAAATTCAAGCTGGCGATAATAATCGATAATTGATGCACATGTGGCACAATTTGAATTACGCGCCTGTTTCGAATTCAACACAAATTGCGCACTCAAGTTGCCGACAATTTGCGTCGTCGCAAACTTCTTACTTGCCTCGTAAGAAGAAAGGTTTATCGAAAGCGGAAGAAAGTTCGCGGTTACGAACGTGGACATTTCGGTTTTGATATTTCATTGAGCAAGAGCGTCGAAGCTTGCGTCGCTCGTTCAGATCTCGCCGGTTGTTTACTTAACCTAGTATACACGCCTGACTGAACGGTACCCGAAGATAATTCGTGGCGACGTTCTTCGCCGGTCAAGCTTGTAATTATCTACAGAATAATACGATCGGACTAACTGCAGCAGCTCCCTGGAAATAGACGGCAAGATGACAGGCAAACGACAAGAGAGAGAGTTGGATCCGGATTCAAGTAAGTTTTCATGGAAGCATTAATTGAAATTGGTAAACACCGCTCCGTTTTTGTGTTCGATTTCGCAAAACTATACAGGGAACTTTATGAATGATTTGTCGCGAGCACACGCTGTGTTCGTCCATTGAAGCGGTAAACAAAACACAATATTACCACGTGACCGATTCTGAACCATAAACAGTGAACGAGACGATACAGCAACGAGATAGCGTTCCCCTTGTTTCGTTTGTGTTTATCTCTGACAGTCGAATACTGATAGATACTAAAAGCACACATTGAAACTACTAATTACGATCAATCAATCAATCAATCGATTTTCAATAACAGGCATCTTTGTTGTGGTATGAAATTACTCGGCGCAGAATGGACCGATTCAAGGTCGTTCACGTGATCAAACATGGTAGAATTGTTATCATCGCAGCCGATTCCAAGTAGAACGCATATTCTGCGTGTAAGACGTTCCATGGTTTTTTCGTCTGTTCGAACAGTGAAAGTTCCACGCGGTGTCTGATTCGATCCGGATTTTTAACGGGCCACTATAAAACAATAACGATCAACGTAATAAATGTCTTACATGGAAATTCGTTTAAACCGAGCTCGAGGCGGATGTGCGTCATGCGAACGACCTACGACCGACTCTTTCGGCGAGAAATAAATTCTTCGAAGTGTTCGCCGCGATTCTGCGTCCACTTTTCGAATTGAATCCTCTGCGGCAAGACGTCGAGGCTTTTTTTAATAGCTCGGCGAATGATTAGACAGGTTGCGACGCGTGAAAAATGGCGACTAAATTCTAGAGGAAAACATGTGACGCGGATCGATATTGCGACCTACGCGATAGTGGGCACGGTAAATGAAACGCATTTTCAGCATTGTATATATTGCTGTGACGCGGACACGAATGTCCGATACTGGGTCACAGGCGACCCATGCCGATCTTCGCAATAGATATCCGCCCCACTCCTTACGTCAAACTCGTCGCATGGGAATGGAAGGAGCGCAGCTATTACGACAATTGATGTGCATGCGTTAGATGTCTTATTTTAGCAAACAGATCGCGGTATGAGAAAGATAGATGGGACAGAGAATTAATTTAGAATCGTGTAAAGAAATATACTTTCTCGACTTGTGGTAAAGCGAGCTGACATAATCCTGGATCGTTTCACGATGCCACGTTGTACGGCCAAAAATTGACAGTGTCAACAACATCGAGTGAGACCGTCTGCGCGGATCCTGGATCGATAAATATTACCGACACAACGCCATGCGATTCTTGGATAGGTCGATCGGCTGCACTTGCGTCGCACGATCAACACATCGGTCACCGTTGACCGACGGATACCGAACGCCACCGAATTGCAATTTATTGCGCGCTTAGCTTGTCAGCCACGAAAACGAACAGAAACGACGTGCCGAACACGCTAGCCTGCTGACATAATCGCTTTTCTTCTGATAGATCGTGACGTAACTATTGCGACACCGTCTCGATCGCCGTGTCTGGTCGGTAAAACAGGCTCTGGAATGCATCTGGATCGATTACGCTGACCGTGGTCATTCCACGCGCATTCCGATGTAATTGCTATTGCTATAGGACAGAGGTTGTAAATTTCGATGGTTTACTCAAGCATTTGTTATTTCTGAATAATGATAGATAACGAAGAGCTGTTTAATTGCTTTTCACGTGACACTGTTACTATGAACTTTGTTGCATTTGCGTTTATCGTGGCACTGTCCTTATCGTTTAGGTTCTCAAATAACGAACAGGATACTTTACAATCGACGTTATCAATCGTAGGACCTTGTTGGACCTCGCAAAGTACCTTTGTCCATTTCATGAGTTAGATGTATTGAAATTTGTACGTGAACTATATACACGTCTTCGAACCTACTTCTTTGAGTTCGACATTGATCTGGCTGGATATAATATATACAAATAGTTATTGATTAAAACTAGCTACTAGAAAATTAGAATTTCGTTTTCGTTGTTCGCTCGTTTTCTCTGAAGCATCTGCAAACTAATCTAATCTGATTCGTTGATAATTCTTTAAAAATTGAATCGAAAATCGCATTGATAGATATGAAAACGTCCTTAGAAACAATGCTCGTCGCGTCGGTGATAATCAAACAGCTTCTTTGATTAGAAACAAACAATGAATTCCAATTAGAAACAAACGTAATTCCAAAGTTGCACATCATTAGATCCTCGGAAGATTCGATGCGTGGGTTCGCTAAGGGAGGTAAACTGGTACTCTGATCTCCGGTGAACCACCGGGTAGCAAGGTTGCAGGGCAGCAGGTACTTACGTTTCCAAGCAGGGTCATTCCATCCGGGTACTACAAAGTTCCTCGATGCACCTGGCAATCGCTTATCGCGGCTCGCGGAAGTAATCACGCACACGGGGACACAGATTTGCGCGCACACGTTTGAACGAGCACAAGTGCGCCCGCGCAAATGTAATCATACGCACCTGAGATTAGGCAAGCGCACACAGCGAAAGCAGTGTATTCGCTCGCGCGCGGAAATCCGGCTACGCGCGCACACACAGGGTGCGAGGAAACACGCGAGTGCAGAGGGTACACAAGACACTGGATAAACCGGGTACACACCGGGTACTCGGGTAACATAGGGTACACTGCAACGAGCCCGCACTTGCACTCACATGGACACGCGCACACGCGCGCGATCCCGATACAAAGTCTCAGGAGTCACAAGAAGGTTTGGTACTGGCGCAATTGGATCACGGTGACGGTACCATGGCTTCGGGTACCCTGGCGACCCGTCGCCGCTCTTCGCGCTTCCTGTCACGGTTCCTCGACCCGCGGCGAACTGGTCCAACGGTGACCCGTTTTCTTCGGGAACGGAATTCGCGATCAAAAACGCGGCGCGCCGAGGGAACGGTTGCTCGCATATGCGAACGTGCAACATGAAAGCGAGCTCATAGGGGAGGAGAGGCGCAGTTAGTAAGAGCAAGGGGAACCCGAGCCACGCCGAGTGCAACGTGATCACCGTGCCGCGTACCTTCCAATTGGCCTAGTCGATCACGTGGTTCATCGGTCACGTTGCAACCGCTGTGGTTCTCGTCTTACTCGACTCACTCTCTCCTTCTGGCTAACCAAAGCGATGTTGTCTCCCTTTCGTTGGATGGTGCACGATTCGATTTCTTCCTAATTACTGAAAACAGTTTTTGATCGCCGGGCTCTATTTCGCGTCCCGCGATGCTCACCTTTATGGAGTGCGAATGGGGTGGCCCTTTGGGCGTCTCTGACATTGATTCGCAACTTTCGGACTGTGAATCGAATCGTAAATGGTTTTCGTTGCTGAGATGAAATGGTTGTTGCGGAATATTTCGCGACCGTTTCACGATGATCTTCGCTAAGTATTGCACTTGATGTACACTATGAAATCCGTCTGCAAAGCCCTGCGATTTGCTGATAACCCTATGGTCTCCTCTGAGGTGTTATTCAAATATGAGCGAACTCCCGTGTCTTCGTATGTGTACCCGGTGTCTCTTCCTTGACTCTTGGTGAAGATGTGTCTTAACTTCATTCACTAAAATTCTTATCTCCTTATTTAGCGAGGGTAGGACTTGCGTTTCAAGCTAGGGAAATCGTGGCATTCGAGGAAGGAAAACTGATCTCTAATGTGACTGAAAAAATAAGTGATCTCTTAATAGGAGATCGGAAAAGTGATTTTCCAAATGACGAAGTCGAGCAACATTTTCAAAGCAACAATTTATCATAATCGAGGCAACGCATGAATTACTAATAGTAAATGTAAGTATTGTTTGATATTTAAAATTGGCATGAAAGGTTACACGACGCAATAGTTTCCGTTGTAGTAGCTTCTTCTTCGCAATTTATTATGGTGTTATCAGTAAGCTGCAGATCTTAATACGTTCATGGCGCGTGCGGTGTTGTGAAACATGCAAACCTACTGGTTAACTAAGACCAATAACATTTCTATTTTATTTTGGCCTGAAGCAATCTTCTAAAATTGCGACAGGAATGTTTACTCTACTCTAATTACCATAAAGTGACGCACGAAAGTGGAAATTTGCATAAACATCTACAATCTGGTTATGAGGTTTAAAGGAGTTTCATTGGCTCTCTTGTGATCAATAGTGCGCGTCAGATCTGTTTCTCATAACAGGCAGCAATTTCAGTTTCTAAGTCACAGAAGATCCTAGATCCGATCATGCAGTGTGCGTTCAATGAATCGAGTTAGTAATAGGAAACGGATGTACGCGATAATCACTTTAGTTAGATCACTTAGGTGGCCGATTAGTCAGGCAGAGTTGCAACCTTGCGTCTATCACGTGCCTAGAACGCTGCAACTTTGTTCCCATGCTGTGACTCAACCGTCTGCTTCGACCAGCACGTCTGCACCAAATGATCCAATATAGTATCCCATTTGTCGGGACACTGATCTTTGACACCCTAATTAGTTATCCACGTTTTGCATTGTTTGCCTAGCTCTAAAAATTAAGTTTTCGGTCTGCGAAGTGCAAGAGAATCTGGCGAATAATTAATACTGGACATTCCTTGCGACCTAGGACATCTGTGTTCTCAATTGAGCAATTACTGTTTAAGCATATATTGTTACTAATTCGTAGCAGGGCATTGAAGTCACTTCAAGTACAACAATTACTATAAAATACCGAGTATCAAAGCGGAGCAAATCGGGGCAAAATTTGAATTAGAATGCTTCTATGGTTCTGAAAATTGTCCTACATAATAGAGCTGAAGTTTCCTAAAAATGAAGGCGCATTTCCAAGAATGCCTTTATGCCTATTAAACGATAATTCCTAATAAAAGGAAGCTTCGAGCACCCTGTTTAAGGGACCCTTCCGTGTCGTTATGGGAAACTGCAGAATGTCTATCTAATTTGTTAGAGAAGGATGGGAGGAATCGCTAATCCGCGAGGAAACAGCGCCAAAACGGGTCGTATCGGCATAAAATGTTTAATTTCGACGCTTAGAAAGGTAATAAGTGTTACGGGGAAAGTGGCGTACACGCGTCGTCCTATTATTTCGCCATTCCCCGTGTCTACTGCAACGGGTTGCTCGTACCATGTTGCAATTACTCTCGCCGACACCCGCGGGTCGAGATATCCTGCGCCATTACAACGACAGGCAACGTTTTATGTATTCGGGGTTCAAAATTAATCTGCGCGGCTGTCATATCGACTGACACGAGTACTACCAGGATTCTGCGTGATGGAAAGAGGATAACAGGACTGATTACTCCGGCAGATCCTCAACTCAGAATTTCCTGTTTTGTTTAAACAATAACGTAGACTTTGTGCAATTCGAAATTCGCCGGATGCATATAGATTTTTGCGGTTTCCTACGATTCCACAAATGGTCCCTGGAAAAGGAAAAAGAAATTGACGGATTTTGCGGGATTTCCCCCTCCCCTCTCTCTCTCTCTCTCTCTCTCTCTCTCTCTCTCTCTCTGCATCTTTTCGAAAGTCCAGTGTAACATTTGAAACGGTCGAGCGCATGGGAAAAGTACCGAAACATTCGCGAATTCGCCGAAGCCATGTTTTCAATCGCTTTCCAATTTTGTCGCATTCTTCGCCGTGATTTCGTCGGCAGGAAACACAGCTGACGGACCGCGTTACGTTATGTAAGTCTGTTACACCAGGATATTTACCTATGCGGTACCCTTGACCGAATTCTATCATGCGCGCGCTCGCCGGTGCAGTTGCATTCACACGCGCATTATCGTTCTTTCAGCAACGCGGTCCGATTCCCTATGATGCAACGCGATGTAGCTGGCCGAGCGCTGACACGACCGATCATCGAGCAGAACGTCACGTTCGAACGATGCTCTTCTGCCATTCGATCTTCGGTCTTCGCCGAGTGCACGGTATTCCTTCATTATTTCGACGATATTGGTAGTCTTTCGAAAGGATGATGTTTAGACATTTTTTCTAGGAGAAGTACTAGATTTAATTTTTGAACAGGTATCGCTTTTAGAAATGCATATATTGGACTAGTTGTGCGAATTTTTCTGCAGCCGATATCTTAAGAAATGCTGTGCCATTCGCTTTTTGTTCTTCGTCGAACACACATTTTCCCATATTTGCTTCTACTAGCCTGTACGAAGGATGATCTTTTGGAATTTCTACCGGGAGATTAAGAGGACTTCTTTTTTTAAACAAATGTTGCATTTAAAAGTGCATATATTGGACCACCTGTAAGAATTTTTCTGCAGCCAGATCTTGAAAAATGACCGTGTAACTACCTCTTCTGTGGAAGCCGTTTTCCCGAAAACTCTGTGCGATGGGATTCATATCTCAAAGCCGAATAAGAATAGTTCTGTTAACATATGATTTTAACTAGTACATGAACGAAGGATTTTTGGGAAAATTGTTCCTCGAAGTTTTAGGTTTACATTTGAAAAGATCGTTCGTTTACTAGATAAATGAATAATATTGCAACATGCAAGAAGTTAGGAAAAGAAGAAAAAAACGCGTCGGCGAATAGTTACAGTTATTTATTAGTTTCTTTCACATATAAAACATACCAGAAAAAGAGCCACGTCTTTCCCGATACATTCCTTCGTATTGCAAACCGTGTGCAACGTATATAAAAAATGACTTCTTTCCTAAATTTCATGTTACGCGATTTCGTAATTCCACTGTTTTGTTTATCTCTTCGCAACCGCCCCGTCCCTCGCTCTCTCTCGTTCTCGAGCTTAGACTCTAGTATTGTTACTTTACGCCCTCCAGTCGCACCTCGATAATACAATTGTTAATCGTCGCTGTTTTACATAGTCAATCTATACGTAAATATCTTTCTCTATACACATTCGTACAACTTGCAAAATTCATTTCAACTCTTTCGTTTCTCATTTTTCTTGGCCGATCATCAGCTCAAATAGATCGAAACGATTCCGGAATTCCTTATAATCGCGAAACATCATCGTGCTTCTCGTAATATTACAAATATACGTTTCTCTCGCTTCGAACGTACGGTACACGCTATTCGATCAGCTATTATTATACGTTATCTATAATCATTCTATCTGTATAAAATAAAAAAGAAAGAAAGAAAGAAAGACTATATTGCTATTGGCGAGGCGGAGACCGGGTTTCGCTGATGAGTCGCGGAGTTTTCCCGATCCATGATCGGGATCCCAGATCGCGAAACGACACTTCCAAGTCGGAAATCCTTCCGCAGCTCGTCGGCGAGCTCGCGGGCCCCGTCAACGTCTATTAATTCGTTCACGGCTATAAACATATGGTCTATATTTAAATAACAATTGGTAGACTCCACACGCTCGAACAAAATAGTGTTTATGGCTGCGATGGCGCGTGATCGGTTTCCGTGTTACGAACTACTCGGCGATGAACTTTAATCGAGATCGATGCTCGGAACGATCGGGTGTGCTTTTTCGATTTCGGCAGAAACTGGGATACAGAGACGTGAAACTGTTTGGACGATCGAGCTTTGACTTTAGTTTCGAGGTCTCCGTTTTCTTTTAAGTAATCCTCGTCTGTTCCCCCTTTCGGCGAGTTAAACTGTCCCGTCGTGTCGAATTGGCAACAGCGAAAAGTCAACGGATCGTCAACTTTATAAATTCCTTCTTCGAAAATGATGAGCTAAGGCGAGATAAGCTTGGAATAGGATTACATTCGAATCATTTAAATGGAACAGATTGATACAAGAAACAGATGATGATTAAACGCACCTGTGATTGGAATAATCATTATCGACGCAATCAATAGTACAGATTTAGCCGTGTGTTCGCACGTGCACCAACAGATTCGTGTTTCAATTCGATGGAAGACACTGGTAAACAAACATTGCAGACAAATAAAACATATGCCTATCGGAAGTCTATTAACACATTCAATCACTGGAAAAATCAGTGTTAGGAGCAATCACTGGAGTGCGGGTTTTATGCATTTGTGACGAAAAAACAAAAAAAAAAAAGTAGCAATCCAAGGCACAGACTAAAAGAATTTTTAAAATTGAACATATTAGTTTCAGCATATCAAGATCGTTCAAAGAAAGTTCCCAATTGACTATTACTTCTCGTAATTGACACAAATAATTTGTATTTTGCACAAAGACCCGCAGCCTAGTAAATCATTATTATTCACGTAACGCTAAAATTTTTCATACAAGGAAGTTATGCTTAACGTAACTCAACGTGTTAATAGAACTTTATCGGCATGCAAAAGGATTGCGAAGGCTACGCCTTCTCTCACGTCGCGCGTCTCGCTCACCCATGGTCGCCTAAATGCCCCCTCCCCCGCCCCCTCCCACACGCACACAACAGGACACGCGCCTGATGTACTCCGATCCGAAAGAAGCAATCACGGGCGAGCGAGACGCGCGACGGGAGTCAGGAGGCGTAGCTCTCGCGATTCTTATGTTTGCGTGCTGATAATTCCGAGTTCTATTCTAGACAATAGTACCAGAGAAATTGTTGGTTCACGATTGAAATTACTATTACTATTTAAAATCAGACTTTTAACTCTTGCGTATTGTACGGGGAATTGTGTCGTTCACACATTGATTCACATTAGATTGGAATTAGATCAATTCACATTTCTCTGTAGGACAATTTTCCGTTGCTGCGAGAGTTAGGCAGGAGTTTGGTACAAGATAAATCCTTCTCTGTTGGAACGGTAAATCGTTTTCGGTCAAATAATGGTGCCGAACAAGCTGAAAACACGCAGGTGGCAGATCCGAGAACAACGCACGTGTTAAAAATTCCTTGGAAGCGGAGACCTCGAATAAACACCGGAACGCACAAAGTTCGCGCACGAAATTGATACGCTCTACGAACACAGGACTTTTTAATTCCTCGATTCACGTTAGAGCCATGATCACTGGGATTGCAGGGTCGCGAACTAGAGTTCTGACTTCGAAACCGGTGGAAAGCATCGCCAAGAAACCGGGGAACAACGAGAAATCGTGAACACGATGCGATGATTCTCGTGAGAAAACGCCCGGTAAACCCTGCCCTAAGGTGTCCTCGAACACTTTCCTACCATATTTTCTTTTCTTTTTGTTCTGTATCCATCGGTAATCTTCCTCTCCCGTTTTATCATTTAATTGTCTTGTCTCTTTTACGCACTTAACGCTAACATTATACGAAAACGACTGGAAGCGTCATAAATCCGTCATGCGAGGCGACTCTCTGTAAAAAAATATAGCTGTCTATACGGCGTTCGATCCGAGGATCGAAAACAGTACGCACACGCTTCTAAGATTAAATGGAAAACAAGCATGTGTGTCGGCGAACGTCGATAATTCCGTGTGCATGCTGACGCGGTCACCGTTGAGGTTCGCTCGCTTCCCTAATTTTGCCGGGCTGAGTCATAATTAGCTTCCGTTCCCTTCTATTCCTCTCTTCCGATAATTAAGAATTTCCATTCGGTGGAGGAGCGTAGCCGAACATTGTGCCTCTAAGTCGAAATCACCGAGACTTATCGCGTTTCAAAGGGTCGCATTTCCATAAATTGAAAAATTCAGATTCTCTCAACTTCACGAACGGATGATGTATTTATCCCAGATGTTTCTAGATAGATAGTTGGACTTATAGTTATTGCAAATGGCAATAATCGATTCTAAGACATTTTTAGTGCCATTTATGTTTTTGTTCATGTCTAATATTGAAGATTACTCGTAACATTCGAAATATAGGACTGTCCTTAAATTGATTGCATACGACAGGTTTCCCACAAGAAAAATGGGGGGCCCTCATATTCGGCCACGTTCTTCCGAATTGCTATGAAACTCGATGACAACGTCGCGGTTTCGTTAGTTCGATGACGGAACTCGTTTAGGCCTCAACCCGACGGTAATACGTTAAATTTATTCGTATGATCGTAGTACGATGACGAAGGCCGCTACAAAAATGACCCTAAGTGGGCACGTAAGATCCATCACTTCGACGGCTTCTCGCTGTTCTTTAGTCTTCCGAGAAAACAAAGAGAATATGAGATGAGAAAACAAGGGTGTCTCGCGGTGGCTGCCGTCCACGTCATAATCACCTGCGAAAGACACCAGCGTAGACCGCGAGGGGACGAAATGGTAGAATACTGTAATCTTTTGTTAAAGCTATGATTTTAATCTCGAGAAAATTTATATCCTATGTATTGCGATGGTCTCCCATTGTCTCGCTCGAAAACAATTAAGAAAACGAATAAAAGCAAAATAAAAAGAACAAATAATCGTTTCAAGTGAGAGTTCGGTAATTAATCAGCCGTGCGTCCTTTTCTTTTCTTTGTCTCCTTTCTCCATGGTCGCAGTTAACACATCCAGGTACGTATTTGATGCCACGCAAAAATAATTCGATTAAAGATTACAATTAAAAAGTATTGTACAAGAAGGAAATCCAAACCTCTGCATTCTCTCGTCTCTCTTTCTTTTCTTTTTACAATTTATAGGAACATCCGTTTGGAGGGTTCGCAGATTAGATGCAACGACAAATGTGTTTGTGGACACTTTTCGGGGAGATATATCATCTCTCTCTCTCTCTCTCTCTCTCTCTCTCTCTCTCTCTCTCTCTCTCTCTCTCCCTCTCCCTCTTTCTTGTTCTTTGTTTATTTCACCCGCTTGGAGGGCCTCCCCCGTTTTTTCGCCTCTGTGCTCACGGTGAGGTTCAAGGTGGTCGATGATTTGGCAGTATGTGGATCAATCTTGTAGAGGTCCAAGTGGACCGACTCGTTCTCGATCGCCCTTCTGGATCGCCTAGTCCTGCCGGCTATTCTCTCCATTTCGTCGAATTTCGCCTGTAATCTCTGTGCCAACTCGAAGTCCTCTTTCTCCTGTATTACCAGCCGTTCCATTCGCTCCTGTTCCTTAATGATTTCCTCGTCGGAGAGGACGTTCCTCTCAGCAGCCATTTCCGTCCCGGTGGTGTTATTGTTCTCGGCGACAACTTCCTGCAACTCGCTGCAAGACTCAGAGGAATTATAGTTCGCATCGTCTACGTTCTCGAACATAGTGTCCTGCTCGCTGTTCGCTGATGAACTAATTGGATGCATCGGGTTTCTCGCGGTTTTCCTGCGACCAAAGTTGGCCAGGTTGCAGCTGGAGCCGACGGACGCGTCGCTCTTTTCCGAGCTCTCAGTGCTGGACTGCTTCGAGCGACATGCCCGTCGTTGTTTCGTCTTCGAGAATGTGCCCCTAACAAACTTAGTTCGACTTCTCTTTTGTACCATCGCTGGTACATCCTCGGCCATCTTGTATTCCAGGTCCTCCTTCCTGCACAACCTTTTCCGCGTATTCCTCTTCGCGATCCCGTTATCCGACTCCACACTCAGCAAAGAGATCCCGTTCTCCTTCTTGTCCGTATTCGTCCTCCTCCTCTTTATCCGCTCGGCAATATTCTCCATCGTAATGTGGTCTTCCGCCTGCACCTCGAAGTCCTCATCACATGGCGAGTTCAGCTTCACAGACGCCGACGACGATGTCGAGTGTCTCGCCTCGACGTCGTCCGTGTACTTCCTGTCCGTGTTTCTAGGTTCCTTCTTCGACCATAGGTTCCTCTGCCGTTTTGACTTGCACGCCATGCCGTTCCCCACATGCGACTTCCACGCCTTCTGGATTTTTTCCATGTCTAACTGGTCGTCCAGCGTCAACTTCTTACCCAATCTAGCGCCGTTCACCATTCTCGTCGAAGACTTCGCGTAATTCTTGTTCGAGTCGAACGACATCTCCGCGACGAAATCGAGCTTGTGCGCGGCGTCCTGCACTTGAGCTTTCGATGCTTTTTTAGGGATCATCTGGGACTGGGTATAGGACGTTGAAGGCTTTTGCTCAGGGGTTTCCGTATCCTCCTTGGATGCCTCTTTCTCTTTGAAGTTCTGCTTGCTTTTGCCTACAAATGAATAATGTCGGTTCATGTTTTCCTTGAAACTTTCTGATTTTTCTGTAACATTCCATTTATAATTGGATTGCAAGATGTTACGAAAAAAATGATATGTTAAAGAGAAAATACTACTGAGCTATTTACTGTAAAGAGAGAGAGAGAGAGAGAGAGAGAGAGAGAGAGAGCAATTACAGCCGCGACGTTAGGGAGCGGACGTTGTGCTTTGAAGTAAACGTACCTCTAAATGCGCTCCAGGAACAACCAATGATACGTTTCAAATGTGTCTGGGCGGGCGGCTTCGGTATCACATTCGACATTCTTTTCAAGACGGGAACAACTCTAATTAATTTTGGGTCTATGTGTCGTCCATCTAAAATACAATAGCATGCGATTAATTAGCGCTTACAATTCATTAATCGGTGCCACAAGGAGAATAAGACTCCGACCTGTAGACATTTTCAATGGTGTTCGTGGCATGGCCTTAATAGGTTTAAAATGATGAATTTCCTGATTGATACTGTCGTGGCTGCCCGCACTTTCCGCACTGCCGGTTCTTTCGTCGTCTTCGCCCAAGGTCATGCATACCTCTACCCCTAAACTTTTTTTCTTGCTATTTACAACGTCATTCGGTACATGCAACTCCTCCTTGCTCCGAGTACCATAGATTTTCAAAGAAGTTTTCATCGGTTCTGCAGTACAATCCGACGTGCAGGGTTCTATCATTTTCGTTACCGCCTGGTGCTTCAGCGTTCTGGCAATGGTATTATATGTAGGTATTTGTTTTTGACAACAAAACTTGGCTATGCCGTCGTTGCATTCGTTCAACGAGTCCTTATTCTTTGTACTTGAAGCATGTCTATCTACATGCATCTTGGATATCAGCGCAATATTCTGTCTCCTTAACCCTGAACCATCCTGATATTCTAGAGCAGTCTCCTTCTCACACTCAGAACTATGAAATTGTAATCTATAGGGGTTCACTTCAGTCATAGTAACAGCATTCAATTTCGATGTTTGCAGAGCACCACTGGATGTACTAGGACGATCATTGTAACATTTAGCAATGTCCTTCTGTTTCTCCGCGATTTGCTTTTTCGCTAACGTTTTAGCGAACAATTGATCCGTAGCCAATTGAGTCAGCTGCTGACGTTGTTCCTCCTCCTGAATCTTGCGGATCAGCATCTCGCTAGCTATCTGTTCAGCCTTCCTTTGACACTGTATCTCCTCTTGAGCCATTTGAAGTTGTACTTCATACTCCTTACGGATCTCTCCAACTTCGCTGAGTATTCTATTAGTGGCAACGAATCCTACAAAAATATAAATCATCTGTACAATGCTAGACTTTATAGAAAGCCACGTTAATTGTCTAAAGAAAACGTTTCATTAACGAGCAGACGGTCGCCAGAACAAAAAATTTTCTTTGTTTTGCAAAGACTAAATGAAATTCGGAATTTTTCTCAGAAATTATAGGTCAGTAATTGACGCTGCTCAAAACAGACATAAGGTTGCATGAGTTGTCACTGATTTATGTATGCACGTACACGCACCGATATTCGTACGTTCGTGTGCGTATACGTGCTACGCTACTCACAGAGGTTATGTTACGTTTGTTTATCTTCTCCAATAAGAAACTCACCAGCATCCAATACGATGTCTTTATCGTCGCCGTTGTACTTGTCCTGAACCTCTTTCGGGAATTTCGTTCGGATTAACTCCCAGAGACCACTGTTAACTAGTGTTTCAGTCTTTGTCGCTGTACGTAGCCAAGAACCAACTCGTACTCGACAGAGTGGACAGGTCAGGCTATTGTGCTCGAATGTACCTCTTAGACATCTTAAGCATAAACTGTGCGTGCACGGTAACGTTACTGGCTCGATCAGGATGCCACGGCACACCGGACATATCAGGTCTCGAAGACTGATGTCCATTGACGGTCGTGACAAAGAAATATCAAACAATTTTGACGTTCGCTTCAAATACGTCGCCATCTTCCCATCATTCCCCAAAGAAGCATAACAGCTACTGCCACCATAGCGGGAACCTTGGTTCTCTCGCCCTCGCCAGAGAGCAGGTCCGCGATCGAGCCAATCCACATCGAATTCTATTCAAAACGAATCGACACTTCTTTCGTTCAGTGTTTATATATAGTCCAACCACCGTTTAAAACAGTTATCTATCCCACTCCGACGAGCCGAGAACTATGATCGTAATTGGCAGCTCTCTCTTATACTGAGATACTAGGCGATGCCATAGTATATGTATTTCTGAAAAAAGATAGAAAAAAGGTAGCACAAGTTGTAATGAAACGCATATACTTTTGTTGTAGCAGACAATCTGCTCAATTTCTTTGAAAAATGACATTTTTAATTGGTATTCAACGTTTCCATACGTACATATTTAATTGCAAAAATAGTCAAACAGACTAGTCGCACCATCTACAGCAAAACGCCCAAGCTACTAATTAATTATATAGTTTGGTAACCTTGATGATAGATGGCATAGTATACTTATTTTTGTGACAGACTGAGAAATTTGAAAAATAGCGTTATTCCTTCAGAGTTCAGAGTTAAATTTTATATATTTTATGGTTAACATTAAAACTAGTATACATAATTTACAATGTAATTTGTAATGAGACCTACTCCTACACACTTCTCTTTCTCCCTAAGCTGGCGCGCACATCCCCACCACTTTACTGCGCATCTAATCCGCAGTGAATCATCAGCTAATCAAAACAAAGAAAATTTCTGCATTGATTCTCGCTAATGGATCCAGCTATGGCCTGGAGGTATATAGGAGTAAGATGCATTACTGTATTTATAGATAAATTTTATGTATTTCATGTTTGTTGTTATTGGGTTTTTGTCGTTGTACTAATTTTTGGTCAATTCAATATACATGTACAATGTACAACCACGACAAAGAAATAGTAACAAACATGAATATATTAAATTTAACTACATTGTATACAAATAAATTACAACGCTATTTTTTATATTTACCAGTAGAGTATGTAAGTATGCATGCATATATGTATGATGTACGTATCGATAAAAAATCTAACGTAGTATTGTATGTTAATGATTATATGAACAAATCATATCTTCCAATTTTATATTATAGAGTCGGTCTTGATGGAATTAAAACAAATTTATACTCCTAATTTTCAATCTATATGCTCCAATAAATTTGACGAAAACTGTCGCTTTCTCTAGTAAATTTTGAATCATCAGGATAAGTTCGTTAACTTTTGATACATATTTTAAGCTTAGTAAGATCTTAACTATTAACGTCAACTAATGTAGATATATGTGTAGTCCGTGATGTCGATATGTTTACTAACATGTTACGAAGTTCCTAATGATCTTTGGGAACAAAAGGAACTAGAGATATTAAAAGAAATATTAACAGATTATCGTCAAGTCATTTAGATAAATAAGAAAAATGCAAGTTAAGTGTATCATGTGTACAGGTCATAATGGAACACTGAAAGTACTATATTGTATATACCTACATATTGTAGGTATTTTCCTGCGTGTGACGATATGGAGGAAATAATTAAGCACTTGTATGATTCCGGAGTCTCTTTATTTCTGTCATCCAAGCCATCTATTGTCTACATTCGGGAATTACTTCCCAGTTCCCTACAATATGTACCAGAAGTGTAAAATGTGCACTGTTTCTAGACTTATGATTTGTAGAAACTATTAATGATATAAATTCTACCAATCAGAAATTAAAAGAACCTAACTAGGTATTTTTAATTTGGAGGTTTGTGAAACTAGAATCAAAACAATAACGGTAGAAAAATCGGTTAAAATTCGTTCGGTACAAATCGTGACATTCTGCGCACTGACTTTTGTACGGTATGACTAAACATGCTGACGTGATATATAAAGTAGTGATGCAATATATAATTTAATTTGTGTTCGTATGGAACAGTGAGACGGACCTACTGAGTGCTTAAACTATTATCATTTTTTGGAATTAATAAATAATTGAGACACCATGGGGAAAGGTATAATATTCACGTATTAATTTTGTGTAGATAACAAAATGGAGGGCACAAGTAGTGAATTGTTGAAAAAGAAGGAAAGAATATATTTTAGTATCTATTAGTATCTTTTAGTATATTATTATTATTCCCGATTTTCTTTTTTTTCGAGTCTGTGCCAAGAATATCTTTCTATGCAACTTGCCAATTTTTTCATATCTGATTCTGCTTCTTTAAATCTTTAATCTTCTCTAAAAATATGTAATGAAGTTTCAAATGATTGTATCGGAGTTTCTATGAATTTAATGATATTATACCATAATTATTACATATTTACATAATAATATGCGAAGATGTGTGGTATTTCATCCATATGCTTTGAATAATACAACAACAAAATTAAATATTTATTACAATGTATTGTCTGTTTTTGTTCATATATTGCAAAAAAATGTCCTTTTGCAAGTGTATATGAAACTTAGATGACACTGCAGTTTGCTTGTTTATGTTTGGGTCACCTTCTAAACAGTTTCAAAATATAAATAAAAATTAAAATGATTTGGAATGTACAGGTCATAAGAAAAAAAAGTCCAAACAACAGCAACAACAACAACAAGGATTAGCAGCTGCTCAGGAACAACAAGTGGGAACATCAGTTGCACATCAGCAACAGCAGCAAAGGCAAGATACTTCTCCGCAGCAACCAAAAACACCACCAGGTCCTCCGCAGCAACCAAAAATACCACCAGGTCCTCCGGAACAACAAAAAACACCGCCAGGTCCTCCGCAGCAACAAAAAACACCACCAGGTCCTCAGCACCAACAACAATCACAATGGGGTCCACAGAAGCAGCAACAAGGACGTGGTATTTCTCCGCACCAACAACAAGGACGAGGTATTTCTCCGCACCAACAACAAGGACGAGGTATTCCTCCGCACCAACAACAAGGACGAGGTATTTTCCCGCACCAACAACGAGGACGAGGTATTTCTCCGCACCAACAACAATCCGGTCGTCAGGAGCAGCAACAAGGACCATGGCGTTCACAGCAGCAACAACAAACGCCACCTGGTCCTCAACAGCAACAACGAGTACCATGGGGTCCACAGCAGCAACAACAAACGCCACCTGGTCCTCAACAGCAACAACGAGGACCATGGGGTTCACAGCAGCAACAACAAACGCCACCTGGTCCTCAACAGCAACAACGAGGACCATGGGGTTCACAGCAGCAACAACAAACGCCACCTGGTCCTCAACAGCAACAACGAGTACCATGGGGTCCACAGAAGCAACAACAAATATCACCTAGTCCTCAGCAACTACAACAAACACCACCTGGTTTTCAGCAGCCACAACAAGTGCCACCTGGTTTTCAGCAACACCAACAAATGCTCCCTAGTCCACAGCAGCAACAACAAATACCACCTGGTTATCAGCAGCAACAACAAATGCCATCTGGTTCTCAACAGCAACAACAAATGCCACCTGATCTTCAGCAACAACAGAAAACACCCCCTAGACCTCAGCAAGAACAAACATCACAAGAACCTGGACAAAAACAAATTGTATTGTATACTCGCTAATGAAATTGATATTATAATTTTCGATTGGGTTAATAGATTTTATTTTTTTATTTATATTGTTATAGACAACTTATAGAAGTGATAGATTTACTGTGGGGAAATTAACAAGTGCTATGCAGAATATGTACTTGGAACAAATACCAAAGAGAAAGGCTGCCAAAGGAGGAGTTATGGGTCGGCCAATTATTGTGGAGACGAATATGCTAAAAATCATTTTGGATAAGTTACAAACACATGTTGTCCATTATGATGTAATTATTGAACCAGACAAGCCGAAGTTTCTGATGAGACCAGTATTTGAAGAATATAGGAAATTGCATTTTCCAAGCAGATATCCAGCGTTCGATGGGAAGAAAAATGCGTATAGTGCGAAAGAACTTCCTTTCGGTGATATAAGTGTATGTAAATAGTACTTTTGATACACATTTATGATTTAACTGAAAAAATTGAATGAACTCGTACTACAATTGAATATAAATTACCTATATATGCATTATATCGAATTACCTAGAACTTGTGCCTATCATTTTTTTTATAGGAAGAAGATGAAGTGAAAGTTTACGATGTTGAACGTCAACAGGATCGTCCGTTCAAGGTTTATTTAAAGAGAGCAGCAGTTATTGATTTATCATGGTTAAAGAAAATTAATTTTGGATTCATGGATTTGCAAAGTGAACAGAGTGGTATGCAAGCTTTGGAGATCATTCTGAAACATGGGTCAGCAAATACCTGTGTCAGTGTAAGTTATTTTATAATATCAAGGCTCTTTCTATTAAGTTCATTCTAGCGATAGTACTGAGCAACTAAAATTGTATAATTGTTTCTAGTTCGATAATATTAGTAGGTTGGTACAATTGTACATTTACAATTAATATAATTTTTTGGACAGGTGGGCAGATCACTTTTTCCACATCCAGAACCAGGTAGAGTTGTGGCATTATCAAATGGCTTAGACTTGTGGGTTGGAATTTTCCAGTCTGCTGTAATCGGATGGAAACCATACTTGAATGTGGATGGTGAGATATTATTGTACTTGTATTTATAATTATATGATTCTTATCTATAATCTATAATTCCATTATAATGGATATATGTTTTGTGTACAGTTGCCCACAAAGGATTTCCATCTCCTCAAATGATTATCGACTTAATGAAAGAAATGTGCAAACATCCGAAGGATGAACATCCCCTGGAAAATATAACACCAGAGGATGTAAGCCGCAATGCGGATAAAATAACGAAGTATTTGAAAGGATTAAAAATTCAGTATGAAATACCAGGACAAAGTAATAGTAGGAGGACATACAGAGTTAACGGATTAGTTGAATGCCCGAGACAAAATAAATTCACTTTAGAAAACGGACAACAATGCACAGTTGAGAATTATTTTATTCAGCAAAAAAGATATAGGTTGCAATATCCAGAGTTGCCATGCCTTTGGGTAGGATCACGGTCTAATGAACGTAGAATACATTTACCAGCAGAGGTATATACATCTACGTTTGTTCAGAATTTGAGACAGCGTGTTCGAAATTATACGTTATTTATTTTTATTCTATAGTTGTGTACAATCGTAGCGGGGCAGGTGATACAAAGAAAAATGGATGACAGTCAAACATCGAAATTGATTAGATATGCTGCAACTGACACTCAAAGACGTAAAGAGAAGATTATGCACGGAGTAAGAACATTGTTGTATACTTAAGAATTGTAAGCATTCGATTCTTTCGTTTATTAACATAAATATGTTTTTAGTTTAGAAAGATGAAACTAAATGAACAGCCGACACTTTCGAAAGAATTTAACTTGTCTGTAAATTGTGAGTTTGAAAAAGTACCGGCTAGAGTACTGGAAGCTCCTGTATTGGAATACAAGGCAAAGACAAGGGTAAACGTAATCAAAGGAGTGTGGCGAGCTACCGGCTTTAAATTGGCAACCAGATTAGCAGACAATGAGTGGACTATTTTGAATTTGGATAAATTCACACAAGAACGTACAATACAGGATAGTTTACATATTCAATTACGGACAGGCGGTTAGTTCGTGGTTTTAAAATATCACGAATGATCTAGAATATAGAACATACATAATATAGTCTTTTACGTTTATATTTTTTACAATTCTTTAGCGGAGAGCATTAATATGCATATTGGAAAAGCGCTAACCCCATTTGTAACTTTAAATATACAAGGAAGAAACCTGACTACTATATCTCAATATTTTGCCGAAAAAAAGAGGCAGAATCTAAAATTGATTGTGGTGATAATACCGAATTTGGATAATGCGTATAGTAAGTAATATAATGTTAGTATATTCAAACGAAATGAATGAACGATCTGAACAATTACATAAAATTTTTCAGGTTTAGTGAAACAGATATCTGAATTGAGAACAGCAGGCGGTATAGTTACTCAAGTCTTAAAGGCACAAACTTTAAAAAAATTATCCCAAGCAACAATTACAAATATTTTGTTGAAAATTAATTCAAAACTTAACGGTATTAACCATGAGATCTTAGAAAAGTAATGTTTATTATTTCTGGTGAATTCTGTAAATTTCTGTTTAATGGATATTAAATGTGTACACTAAATGTTTTTAGCCCACCTTGCTTAAAACAGCCATATATGTTAGTTGGGGCAGACGTAACTCATCCATCCCCCGATTCTACAGATATACCTTCAATTGCCGCGGTAACAATTATCTTGGGTAATTTCTCTGTATCAACGGATTAAATATTGTTCTTTTTTCTTATTTAGGTTGCTGCCAGTTATAATGCAAATGCTTTTCAATATAAGATTGAATTAAGACTTCAGCCGCCTAGAGAAGAAATGATTCAGGATCTTGAGACGATAATGCGAATCATGTTATCGAACTTTCATTCAACCGCACGTGTAAAGCCAACCAAAATCATCTTTTACCGGTAAACATTATTTAACATAAAAAATGTAAATCCTCATATGGAACACAATTGATATTCATGTGCTTTAATTTGATCTATATACAGTGACGGTGTAAGCGAAGGACAGCTACCTCAAGTAATGCATTATGAATTGTCTGCTATAAAAAGAGCTATCGCGAAAATGGGAAACGGCGATGATAAAATTCCAATAACTTTCCTCGTCGTTCAAAAGAGACATCACATACGTCTCTTCCCTACTGATAGAAGAAATTCGGATGACAGGAACTTCAATGTGCAAGCTGGAACCGTCGTTGATACTAACATCACACATCCAACACATATAGATTTTTATCTTGTATCACACGCTAGTATTCAAGTACGTGGAATTTTTCAAGATGCGTCACACTGTGTTTAAGAAGTTAAAATTTGTTTGCTAGTGTTTGTCAGTGAAAATATTGAAAACCTTTAAACACAATATACTTTGTAGGGCACTGCTAGGCCTACGAAGTATAGATGTATCTGCAACGAAAGTGATCTGTCGGAAGATGAGATTGAACAGTTGACATACTACCTTTGTCATATGTTCGCTCGTTGCACGAGGTCTGTTAGCTACCCTGCACCCACTTATTACGCTCATTTGGCTGCGTTCAGAGCTAGAGCATTGATACACGGGTTAGTATTTGGTGTGTTACTGGTTGTATTTATTTGATACTTTCATTTTGCATATTTTTCAGTGTACCTTTAAACATTAACAACCTCGAAGAAGAACAACGAGTGAAAATGTCTTTACAAATGAAAGATACACCTATGTTTTTCGTTTGAAGATACTTATTCATATATCCTTTTATTTTCGTAGAGTGGAAAGTTTTATCATCTTTAATTATTATATTATATCGTATATAAATACGCACTACGAGGTAAAGGTATTCATATACAGCTATTTTATATCTTCAGCTGCTAATAGCATTTATAATATGTCGAATTAAAAATGATTTATATGTTATATATTTTAATAATTTTGTAAAAATTTAGTTATTTGTTGTTGTGGAAACTGATAGGAGCAAATTTGATATTAAACATTATTTTAAAAATATTACTGTTAGTGAAAACCTGACAGCAGTAGCATATGA